CCAATTTCTTCATTTCATCCTAATATATCCTCCCCCCTCCCCCCACCTCATCTTGCTTCTATGGATACATTCTACTCTATGTCCTTTGAAATGTGGTGCTTAGTGGTTCCAATACTTAGAATAGGAGAACTGAAAAACAAAAATGTTGGAGGGAAATTCATAGGTATTTATTCCAAACCATACCTGATATGTTTATACCAGCGTATTATCTTATACCATATGCCACACTAAAATTTAAATGGATATTTGACCTAAATATAAAATAAAAAAAAATCCTTTAAAAATGGAGGAGAATGGAAAGAAGTACTTCCCATTCTTCCTTCTTTTTTCTTTTTTCTTTCTATCTTCCTTTCTCCTTCCTTCCTCTCTTCTTTCTTCCTTCCTTCCTCTCTTCTTTCTTTCTTTCTTTCTTTCTTTCTTTTCTTTCTTTCTTTCTTTCTTTCTTTCTTTCTTTCTTTCTTTCTTTCTTCAATATATGTATCACAAAGTAAAACAAATTCCTATGAGGAATTCTCTATGTGCCAACTCCTCCCTCACCAAAAACAAACAAAACAAACAAACAAACAAAAATATCTCATTGTGTAGTCTAATTCCATAACATGTTACATCATGAGTCCTCTAGAATCATGGTAGATTATTGTGTTTGTCTTGATAATATTATGTTTATTGTATAAATTGTTCTCCTGGTTCTTTTCACTTCACTTTGAATCACTTCGTGCATCACTTCATCTTTCCAGGTTTCTCTGAAAACCTGGCTATCATTATTTCTCGTAGCAAAATAGTATTCCACCTAATTGAAATGCCATAATCTAATCAGCCATTCCCCAGTTGATAGACAACCCCTCAGTTTCTCATTCATTGCCATCACAAAAGGAGCTACTATAAGCATATTTGTATATATGGGTTCTATTCTTGTTTTTTTTGATCTTTTGGGGGTATAGACCTAGTATTTTCCTCAACTGGCTAGAGAGAGAATTTTTAACCAAATAAAGGATAGAGGTGATCATAAAACATAAAATAGACTATTTCAAATATATAAAATTTAAAGAGCTTTTACAGAAACTAAATCATGCGCTAGTAGGGAAAGCAAATCTCTCAAACTGAAAAGAAATCCTTGCATCAAATATCTGATAGAAATCTGATATCCAGGACACATAGGGAAGTAACATAATGATACAAGAACAACACCCACTTGCCAGTAAATAGGTGGTCATAGGATATGAAAAAAAGCAAAGTATTCAAAAGAAGAATTTCAAGTTATCAACAACCACATGAAAATTGCTCCAAGTCACTAAAAAATAAGATAAATACAAATTAAAAGAAAATGAGATTTCACTGCACTCCAAAGAACCTGTCAAAAATGGCAAAGGATGGTCATGAATGATTTTGGAAAAGCTGTGGAAAAAAAAGGCACACTAATAAACACTTGGCAGAGCCATTAATCTGAACCATTATGGAAAGAGACACCCATGGGCTCAGAGATCTCATTGCTGAGCATCTATCCCAAATGAGTCAAAGATAGAACATTCCCTTTTATACAAATATATTTGGAGTGGCATGTTTAGTTGCAGCAAAGAAATGGGAAAAATTGTAGATACCCATTGATAGAAGAATGCCTTAAAATTATGGTATATGAATATTATGGATATTATACCATAAAACAGCAAATATAAAGAATTCAGAGAAATAAGATACTTTTATGAATGTAGGAAGAAAGAATTAAAGTAGAAAGAAACATAAACACAATGACTATAATAATGTAAATGACACAAAGTTTTAATGCTGAATAATTATAATGAGAATAGTTCAAGTACAAGAGATGAGAAAACTTAAGGAGAGGATAAGAAACTTTTTTTAAATACTTTCCTGACATGTAGGTAAACTGTTTTATAGAACTCTCTTGACATACCAGACTAGTCAAAAAAGAAATTGAGGTTGGTTGGTCTAGCAATAAACTGCTTTTAAGGATGCTATGTAGCGGTTTAGTGATTCTGGCTTCCTTTTCTACATGTACATTAACCATTGCTTTAATGATATATTCAAAAACTTTTCCCAGGAATTGAAGTAAATTTCATTATCTTGGAATAGAACTAATCTACTCTTCTCTCTGTTTCTCTGTCTCTGTCTCTCTCTGTTTCCCTTTTAAATCAGGAAAATTGCCTTTCTCTAGTCCTATGGATCCTCTGCCGTTCCCTATGATCTTTCAAAGATTACTGACAAAAGCTCAGCAATCACATTTAATGCCTCTTTCACATAAGAGCTCTTCATATACCTGATGGTAGTTATCATGTTTATTCTCTAGGCTAAACACTCCATTTCATTCAATCAGTTACCTGTAAGCATGATCTTGAAGCTGGAGACCTATTATCATCCTGGTTGACCTACTTTGAAACCCTTTCAGCTTTTTAGCTTCTCACCATTCTTCTTAAAATGTAATACCTAGAACTGAATCCAAATAATTGAGATGTGATCTGATAAAGAGTATTGCAATCATGAATGCAATTTCTTTCGGTGGCTGGTATATACCTATCTGGCCATATGACTTGGAACTCATCAAAGACAACTAGGTGGTCTCTCATTATCATCTTACCTATTTTGAGTTTCAATTCCCCATTAGCCATTTTTTCTTTCACAGATTACATATTTTTCGTAGCAGAGAAAACAGAAGCAAAATGAGCTGAATTATCTTGCCTTCTTTCTATCACCAATTATCACTGTGACATGAGCAGTGGTCCTATCTCTTCTTTGATCCTCCTCTTTTCTCCAGTACCATTAGCCCTCCTTCACCTCCAAAAACCACTACAACAAAACCAAACCAAACCAAACCAAGCCAAAACAAAACAAAATGTTCTTAGCATTCCTTTCCTATTAGGCTCAGCTCCTTCTGAGTTTTATTGCTCCTGAATTCTCTGTACAAGAGTATATCAGATTTTCATATCCATGCTCTGGTACCTATCTTTTCTCCCTTCTTTTGTATGTCTTTTGTTTTTTTATTGAATTTTATCTTTTTTTTTCAATTAACTAAAAAATTGATTTTCTCTCCCTCTCTTTTAAAATTAAAAGAAAAACAGAACCTTTGTAACTAATATGCATAATCACACAAAACAAATTATTGTATTGACATGCTGGATTTTATGGTGAATTGGGGGTGGGAAGGAATGAAGAAGCTCAATAATTATCAGCAAAATACAAAACCACCACGACCAAAATTTCAAGGCTTAAGGTTTGAAGAGTAAGGACAAAGTTCTGAACAGTTCTGGTGTCACCACAAGATAAAAAACTGGGAAGAATAGTGTAGAAAGTCTGTTGGGAAGCAAGGATGACCAGCTGATATTATAGAGAGCAATTATGCAACAAGTGAAATCAATTCAATTTTTCTATTTTCTGGTAATGTTATCTGAGGGCAGCTAGATGGCACAGTGGATAGAACGCTGGGTCTGAAGTCAGGAAGACTCATGTTCCTGAGTTCAAATCTGTACTCAGATTACTAGACCCTGGGGAAGTCACTTAATCCTGTTTGCCTCAGTTTCCTCATCTATAAAATAAATTGGAGAAGGAAATGGCAAACCACTCCAATGTCTGCCAAGAAAACTCCAAATGGGGTCATGAAGAATTGGACACAACTGAAAAATTACTCAACAACAACAACACAAATTATTGCATTTCCTGATTACTGTGACAGAATAAGTAAGTTTCTGCTCTTGCAGTATTAAGTTCACATTTTGGCTCATGTTTCTTCTTCTAGAAAAAAAAGTAATATTTTCTCTATGTCAGCAAAAATACTCCTGGCAGTAAACATGATCAAATTCTCCATTTTGAAGAAACGTCTCTCTCCTCTCATAGCTATCACCCTAGTTCAGATCCCTATCCACTCTTGATTGAAATATCAAAATATCCTCCTAATTAATTTCCATGCTTCATGCCCTTCTCTTATCCTGGCTGCAAAATTAGTATTTCAATCAACAATCAATCAATCATTAAAAATTTATTGTCTACTATATATATTTTAGAGTATATCATCATATGCCTTTCATTTATTTTTTTCTCTTTTTGCTCTTGCTTGCATTTTTAGAACTCTATAAAATAATAGTGGGGAGAGTGGGAAACCTGGTTTTCAAACACATGGGACCTTTCTTGAGCCCTTAGCTGCCAAAGTCTTCCTCCTGTATAACTATTCTTTTAAAAAAATGTACAGATTTTGTATAAGCTTATACGTGTATATGCTGTCTCCTCAGATAGCATGGGAGTTCCTTGTGGAGAGGGACTGTTTCATTTTTCCTTTATATCTTCAGTTCCTAGCACCATGCCTGGCACTTAGTAGGCATGTAATAAACAGCTGCTGATTGATTGAAAAGGACTGAGAGATTAAGGATGGGTTGAGGCAACCAAAGATTCAAGAAAAGGATTAGACTTGTATGACAAAGAAAGTTTAAGAAGTGGAACAACAGACCCCTGTAGGTGGAACGCTGAATTTCAAGGTTTTGAGTTTTAGATATTAGTGCAATTACAGGTTGGTAAGGTTAAATATGTGACCATCCTTCCAAATGGTTATATTGGGCTATAGGAGGCCTGTGGCAAAGTTTTCCAGCTTCTTTCAGACATGCTTTTGTAAAACTCAAAGACAGCATATCATGTTGCATTATTAACCATGTGTTTCATATTCTTTTGATAAGATTCTTTGCATATTCTTAAAGTCCATATGGATCCAATAGTTCCTTTTGAATGCAAGCTACAAAGGATCTTTTTAAATAATGCAGATGCTAAAGAGGATTTGCTTTTACACATTCCTCCAGTCTGGCAGGACTTATTCTCTCAAAGGTTAGCATTTTGTTAGTTATATGGAGATCATTATTCTTCCTTTTTAAGATATTCCCCTCTTCTCCCCCTTTTTTTTTTTCTCACATGTACTTCTGTACACATTCAAAACCTGTGTGATGGATTATAAAGTTTATTTTTTGGACTAAGAATAAGGTGTTAATTAATATCTTCTTTTCAATCAGGTACATCTGTAACCAACGTAACAGCTACTGATGCCGATGATCCTGTTTATGGAAACAGTGCAAAGTTGGTGTATAGTATCTTGGAAGGACAACCGTATTTTTCCATTGAACCAGAAACAGGTAAGTGGACCTGGCAAAAAATGCTCTTGAAATTGCATTTTTACTTCAACTTACTAATCAGCTGTATGACCTTGGGAAAGACATATTATTTCCCTGTGGCCTCTATTTGCTCATTTTTAAAATGTATGAAAGTTGGACCAGATACACCAGATTGCTAAGGTACTTTCCACTCTTTATATGCTCTGACTATGAATAGGGATATATGACTGAATCAGTTTTATCAGAATCTGAAAGCACATAGTTGTAAGTTCTGGATCTGATCTTCCTAGCCACACAGTCCTGGACAATTTATGTAACCACTTTGAGATTGCCTCAGTTACCTCATTTATTAAAAAAATAGATATAATAAAATTTACACTTTCTCCCTTATAGAATTGACATAGGGACATGTTGATAAGAGTAATTATAGTTATTTTACAACAGCATGGAGGGTTCCAAGTAAACAGAGAAAATATTGTGGTCACGATAACCTTCGTCATACCAGGTGTTGGTTAAGGCTCCCGTGTAGACATTGAGGAGTTTAAAAATAGATCAGCCCATGTAATAATTGGCAAGCAGGAGTTAAAAAGTTCAGAAACAATTGTTTCAGGGCAAACTTGAAGTGAAAAAATTAAAATTTAATGAAGTTATTTTGACATTTTTATTGAGTTGCAAATGGTCATAATTTTTTCTTTAAAACAGAAGGAAAGAGATTTATTTTTTTTAACCAACTATACATCAATTTAGTAAAGTGTGTATGTTTGTTGCTTTTCTGAAGGAAAAGAGTTAGCAGTTCTTAAGTCTTGAATTAAGGCTTTCCCTGAATTTGTGCAGATCTTACTTGACAATATCTAAACAGCCCAGTTTCAGCAAAGAGAGGCTTAACAAAGAAACCAAATATTTAGGGGCCAGAAGTTTGGATATTGTGAAAAATTTTTCCTATTCTTTCCTAAATGATAATTACCATTCTGAATAGTGCCTTAAAAATCAGAGAATACTTTTATATTTTATTTATTTATTTATTTGTTTGTTTATTTATTTTTAGTGAGGGCAATTGAGGTTAAGTTCCTTGCCCAGAGTCACACAGCTAGTGAATGTTATGTGTCTGATGCCGGATTTGAACTCAGGACCTCCGGATTCTAGGGACGGTGCTCTCTCTATGCACCGCATAGCTGCTCCCATACTTTTAAATTTTAAAGATATGACTTGTATGCATACATATATGCCATCTATCATCTATATACATAAGTGTATATATATGAATATCTGTGTATCCATATTCACTCACAGGATTAAAAATGAACTTAGATGAAGTTCCTATTAGAAAATTAATTAAGAATGTATTTATAATTTTATTCTCAACTAAAAAGACACATTTGGGTAACTAAGTGATAAACTTAGATTTTCTTAGTTTATTGAGATCATTACTGCTTGTCATTAAGATATAATGGGATTGAATATCACAATTAGGGACCAACTTATCTCTTTGCCTTCTTTTTTCAGTTATATTTAGGTAATATATTTGCCTTTTTTTATGCAATTTAGTCAAGTTCTTTTACAGAAATAAACCTAAGTTTTCATGTGTATATATATATATATATACACACACGAACACACACACACACCACTGTGTATCAGTGGAGGGAGTTTACACACTAACATTTCCTGTCACTCATAAATTCATAGATGTAGATCCTTTCCAAAACATATGTACACCCACATGTGTGGACTATCTTCATTATATCCCCACTCTCATGTGAATATATGCTCATATGCATTTATTCATGTTTACTTGCAGTGTATAAGATGTCTTAGAAAAACACAAGTTACTGAAGGTCTAATATGTCATAATCTCTTGTGTACCTAAAAACATTTTCCAGAGATTGAATAATCTTGGCCATTGTCTAAGGATAGAGTCTACTCGGATAGATATGTACATGTTGTATAAATCATAGGGGCAAAATCTAAAGTAGTAGGGAAAGTACCTATGAGGGAACTAGGAGTAGCTAAGGTAATGATTCAGGTCACCCCCTGACCATCCTGCCACCATGTCAAGAAAGGGGTCTGCCACTTGTGAAATACAGCTGCCCTCTATGGTGGTGCTTGAGCAAAGAGGTGCATGAGCAAGAAGAAACTTGTTATTGTGGGGAGGTTTGGGTACAGAAACCAGCTTGAGCTCCCCTTTAGATAGTTTATTAGTCCAATAGATAGTCAATGCACAAATCAGCAAAGACCCAAAAAGGGATTAAGCCAAATGGAGGTGCATTTGAAGTCACAGGTCTTTAATTGGAAGATATGGACAATAGGAACAGAGGACAAATAGCTGAATTCAGCAACTTTCAACACTTCTTTCAGTTTCAGTTCTACCAGCTGCCTTTTTGAGCCACCAGTACTGTCTGTCTATACCCCTCCTCACTCTCACCCTGCTCCGTTTACCCTCTTCCACAAGGACAATCCTTGAGTCGGTTGAACAAAAAAAAAAAAAAAAAGTGACTGCAGATGCTCAGAGAGAAGTAAGATGACAGGAAAATCAAACCTACTCTCATTCTTTTCCAAGGGCCTTGGTTTCCATGAACTATCTTTGTCACTGTCAAACCATTCAGACAAACTATCCAGACACAATGTGCCCACACAACCTGCTTGTCTTGCTGTTCTTCCCACGAGATGTTCCATCGTCTATCTCTGTGCCTTCGCACAGGCTGTCTCCCATGATTATAATACACTTCCTCACTGTCACTTCTTAGACTTCTTGGGGTCCTTCAAAGATCGACTCGAGTGCTACCTTCTACATTAGACTAGCCTGATGCCTTTCACTGCCAGTGCCTTGTTTCCCCAAATTCCCTTGTATTTATTGCCTGTATTTTGTCTAGATTTGTTTATGGACATGTTGCCCCACCTAAAACAAGGCAAACACCCTGAAGGCAAGCACTATTTCATTTTGTTTTTTTGTATCTCTAATGTGGAATACAGTGCCAGGCACAAACTAGACACCTAATAAATACTCATTGGTTTATTGATTACCATTGCACAAAGACTGGCAGAAGTTAAACAGGAAAAGCCACAAAGAATGCCCTATTACCTACTTCTTTTGGTTTAATTATGTCAGTGATCTGATGCATAGTGTGCTCTGATCATAGTATATAGAAGTTAAATGTTTGAATTAATGAATTGAAATGACTCAATTCATCTGGGTAGTTTAATCAAAGGTTAAAATATTTTCATACCTCCCATTCATCTTCTCCTCCACTTTCTCCCTACTAAATGGCACAGTATATTGAGACCTGGGCCTGGAGTCAGGAAGACCTGAGTTCTAATCTGGTCTCAGACACTTTTTAGCTGTATGACATTGGGCAAGTCACCTAACCTCTGTCTGACTCAATTTCCTCAACTATAAAATAAGGGGAAAATAGGACCTATCTTCAAAGGTTGCTGTGAGGATCAAATAAAATATTTTTAAAGTGCTTAGAATGGTGCCTAACATATAGTAGATGCTTAATAAATGCTTGTTTTCTTCCTTCCAACTAACAAAATTAGAAAACTTAGGGTTAACAAAGCAATTCTGCTTGATAATACCATGGAAAAGGTAGCAATGAGTATTAGTAGTTTTATTGTACAGAAGAGGAAACTAGATTCAGAGAAGGTGCCAAGTCAAGTCAATAAGTATTTATTAAGGGGTTACTTATATGCAAGACACAGTGATATGTGCTCAGGGTGCAAATAAAGGCAACCCCCCCAAAAAAACAAACCCTGATCTCAGGGAGCTCACAATCCAATGGAGAGACAGCACACAAACAAGATATATACAAAGTAAATTTGAGGTATTGTCACAGGGAAGACATTAAGTTTAAAGAAGCCTGGGAATGGCATTCTGTAGAAGATAGGGCTTTAGTTGACATTCTCAGGAAGCCACAGGAGACAGGAGGGAGAGATGAGGGAGAGCGTTTTGGGCATGGGGGTTATCCAGTGAAAATGTCCGGAGTCAGGAGATGAAGTTAAGGAGGCCAGTGTCACTGGATCACAAAGTATGAGGAGAGAATTGGATAAAGTAGGAAGTTAAGTGAATTGTTTACATTGAAACATCTATAAATCCTAGATATCAGGACTCAAATCTAACTCTGCTAACTCTAACTTCAACATTATTTCCACTACCCCAGGCTGTCAGTCTATGTATCACAATGTCTCTTCTTCATTTCTGGGATCTTCATTAACAGTTGTGATTGGGCAGGGAAGTGATGTTCGTGTACTTGGCGGCTGTTCTGTGGTGCCAAGGAATTGCCTCCATATTTTGGTTCAGTTAGATTCAATGGAATGATGTTTATTGTGTACCTATTGTAAAAATGGCCTTGTGTGGGACAATGAAAGAGATACATAGTTTAGAAAATACCAGATCAACCCTCAAAGAGCTTTCAATCTAGTACGAGGTATATAATAGATCTAATCTGGTGTAGGTTCTCATTGCCTGGGCCTTCATTATTATAATACCCTTTTTCTGCTTGGTCTCCCTTCCTTAAATTTCTCCTCACTATGATTCAACTAAGTTAAGATTTCAGCAAAGTGATCTTCCTAAAGTACAGGTCCGGCAATATCACCCTTCCTACCATCCTCACTCAATTAACCACAATGACTATCTATTATCTCCAGGATCAAATGGAAAATTATCCATTTGGCATTTGAAGCTGTTTACAACTTCATACATTTTCTCATATTTTACTCCACTTTTTGTAAGCTACAGTTCAGCAACAACTGTTTTCTTGCTGGCCATTGAATAGGCTATTCCATCACTCAATTCCTTGCCTGTAATGACCTTTCTTACTTCTGGAGTCTGCCTTTCTTGGCTTCCTTGAAGACTCAGCTCAAATCCCAGTTTCTGTTGATGAGATCTCCTAACCCCCTCCCTTCCCTTTTCCCACTTTGTGATACTTCAGTTTGTGATAAGCAAAGGGAAAAATTATCATAACTGCCATATTTAAACCATGGTGGAATTGTCAATATCTTGGTTTCATAGCTGTAGATGTGGAAGG